TAGGGTTTAGGGTTTAGGGTTTAGGGCGTGCCAAACGGAAGCACGCTTTGGGAGCGCGCGGTAGTCTGCAGACCTACCCACCCCAAGACCGCCCACTTACAACTCTCAATGAGTTAAGACCTTTTGTTTTGTTTACGAAGCATCACATGAGTCAGCACTCACGCTCTTTTGGGGACCTCCACAAGGTGCGTGGACCAGGGCATTTGCGATACGCAGACGGAAAGGCGAGGCAGCGTCAGAAGACAGCTTGGGTTGGGGCGAAGGGGCTAAGGCCAGGGATGGCCGGGCCAGGAACAGACACAGGCAGCGAGGCTTGGTTGGCGCGAAGGGGCTAAAGCCAGGGAGGCAGGGTCAGGGAATACAGGCCACTGGTGTGCGGACAGCTGGCCAGCAAAGCCAGGGCCAAGGCCAGGGCCAGGCCAGGCCAACAAAACGGCCCCAGGGGCCCCACAGCCCAGCGGACGGGGGTGAGGGACCCAGGGGTCTCCAGGGGCCCACCCAGGGGGCCTCCAATGCAGGACCCAACAATGTGCGGACAGTGTGGGGTTTAGGGTAATAATATATAATACAGTGACAACTGCTGACTCGGCCTGTGCTTGCCTGGAGGGTAAGCCAGCCTGGAGGCAAGCTCGGTCGCCCGCCTAGGGGCTCCCTCGCAGGGTCTCACTGAGCGCTCGACCAGCGCCCGCCTACCCCAAAGACAAGAGAGTGGGGTGGCGGGCGGGTTTAGGGTTTAGGGTTTAGGGCTTAGGGTTTAGGGTTTAGAGAGCTGAAGGTTTGAGGGTTTCAGGGTCTCAGATCTCTGTTGGGCTTGAGCCACCTTCAGGGCAACATCCAAAGGCTGTCACCAACTGAACAAGATTTGGCATGATCACCAGCTACAGCACTGTTGCAGCAGTCCCGCACTTGCACACACTGGTGGACATGCAAGTAACTTGCGTTGAGGTTTCTTTTCATGGCCCAGGCTTCTACAGCTGTGTCAGTACCTTCCACAACCCTCCCTCCCACCTCGTCTGAATTTCGCAGTGCGGAGGATAGCTGGTGCGAGTGCGAGGCCATCGCCGCCAATTTTGTGAGGCCACATGAAGTGCCAAACAGCCCGGTGGAGCTCAAAATGGTTTAGGGGCACCAGAATGTCAGTACACTTGGATTGGTTGCAGGTGCTGCTTGCTTCACGGCAGCTGGAAAATTCTTGGCCAGATGGCACTTAATGGCTGGTCACCGTTGCAGAACTCATGTTCAATACACCCCTGCCCTGGGGTAAAAAAAACACAGATATGAGGAAATACTAAAGGGTGCTCTCAGGAGCTGGTTTTGGGCACGTGAAATGCAAGGGATCTGAGCATGGCCATGGTAGTCACAAGTGCAAGAGCTTGCAACTTGCATCCTATCCATCTGCCCATGTGGGCCCTAGAGCTCGACGAACATGTCTCCGAAGCTCAGCCGCCAACTCTCAACCCAGCCGCCCACAAGGATGACCTTTGATCCTTCTTGGAGGACAAACGCCTCAAAGACCCTAAACCCTTTCTGGCGTTGGTCATTCTTATGCCGGAGCTGTGAACCCGCTCGCGGGCGCCGGCCTCGAGATTCGTGGGCATCCGGGTTCACGCAGGCCTCGCTGTCTTTTTGAGAGATAGAGACTGTGCTTTTCGAAGGTTTGATGTGTTGGCCTTCTGCTGAACCTCTTTGAATTCTTGTCTGCCCCCTTTGTTGACCGCCTTGTTGTTGTGCCTCTTCTTGGCTTCGTTCCTGCGCGTTCTCTTTTCGACTCCCTCTCCCTCGTTTTTCCGCTCACACCCACGCGCCTTGCAGAGGCAGACGAAGTTGAAGTTCTGCTTCCTCGGAGAAAAAACTCTCCGGGGCTTCGCGCGCGGTTGGTTGTTGCGCAGGAGAAGACCGAGGTCCAAGCAAATACTTCCGGCGTGCGGGGCGCGCGAGGTCACACCAGGGCTTTCCGATGTAGCTGATGGTTAACTCCTGCGAAGGCTTGGCCCCAGAACCACACATCCTAAACCCAAAAAGAAAGCCCACAACAAAAGTGACGGCCTTGGTACAGGGCCTGAACTCCCCTCGATCTTGCGAGGGCGCACCGAAGGCTCTGCAAGAAACCCGGAGTCCCGGAGCCCTCAAAAGATCTCAAGAGCACCTCCCCGGCGGCCACGGCCCGCGTGGTGCGCAGCACCAGGCCCTTGGAGGCACTCCTCAGAGAGCTTTCTTTCGAGCCCCAAACCCTCAAAGCTCCCCCCAAAAAAAGGAACCCAAAAAAAAGAAAACACAAAACTGACCCATGGAACGCATCTAAGGCGCCAGGTCCAGGTGGAGTTGGACAGCCCAGCACAGCAATGGTTGAAGAACGACACCTTTCATGGTCCATCTGATTCAAGGGTTTCTGGGAGTTGAGAGGGAGGCTCTGAACCCTAAACCCTAAACCCTAAACCCTAAACCCTAACCCTAAACCCTAAACCCTAAACCCTAAGCAGTCGGAGATTTTTCTCGCCCTGACTTGTGCCAGTGCCAGGCTAGGGGCCTGGTGAAAGAGCGCGTCTCCGGCGGCAGGTGGTCGAGACTCGAGGTCGACCACCTCCCAGGGCTTCTCCAATAGGGTTTAGGGTTTAGGGTTTAGGGTTAAGGTATTTAGGGTTAAGGTATTTAGGGTTTAGGGTTTAGGGTTTAGGGTTTAGGGTTTAGGGTTTAGGGTTTAGGGTTTAGGGTTTAGGGTTTAGGGTTTAGGGGCCTCGGAAGCAGCCCTTGAAGCGGCGGGGCTGCGTGGCGCCCATCTCTCCCCCCTGCCCCGCCCGCTTCGCGCCTGAAATCCGTTGCGGGCAACGCGGGCCGCCACTTCATCCAAGCCTCGGGGGTCCGTGCACCGAGCAGGCCGGCATCGCTTCCTGTACATTTTGAGAATGGACTGGTTCCTGTTTTGGAAAGTAAACCAGGATCACCAAGGCGCCCGTGGTGAGTAGGACACCGATGCAGACGTCTCATGCTGGCTCGGACTTCTCATGGTGACGCCCTTGTGCGGCCCCAAAAGCACCACGCGCGACAAAACAAACCTTCGCGAACCCGTGAACTCCCAGCCATTCACCAAGCAGAGCACGTTCCGCCAAACTTGGCTCGCCCAGGTGTTCCTCAGCGACCGGGGAAACTGACCAAGGGGGTGGTGCCGCATTTGAGAAACTGTGAGGCTCACAGACAACCCAAAAAAAAATGAGAAAAAGCTGCTTAAAAAAACCCTGACCTGCAGTCAGAGATGCTGCCGTCAAGACCGCCAACTCCGATGGAGGCCCACCCGCCACATCCCGGCCACCACAGAGCTCCTTTGGAAGACTCTGCTTTACGAGGGTGCTTGGAGGTTGGCAAGCAAGGTAGAACAAGTACAGGTAGCAATTAGCAAGTAGCAAGGACGACTTGTGCGCCTTAACACGGGGCTCTATCCTGCTTGAAGGGGGGCTTCTTTCTAAGACATGCTTTGCAGCAGTCCTGCCTAACCGGGGGGCCTAAGCGCGGGCAAATCAGGCAGATGTGACCAGGACGGGGGAGGGTGCTTCGTTGGATAGGGCTCACCATGACACGTCGGGCTGGAGTGGCAGAGGAGAAGCCGCACGGAGGGAACGATACAACCTGCCTCCCAGTGTGCCGAGAAAAGGCCTTCCTCCTACGTCCTATGTGGCCCGCAACGTCAGGGCATCAGGTCTCTTCGCTGGCAGAGGTCTCAGAGCACCCTCTGCCAGCTGCAACGTGCGCAATTGGATTGGCTATCATGGGTGTTCTATGCAAGCCCTGGTCTATATTGAGATGAACACGGCTCAGGATCGCCGTTTTCGTCGCCTCCTCTGTCCTAGGCTGCGATGGCGTGAAACCTTGATCTTCAGCAGGCAGACACCTCCTCCTCCTCCCAATCTAACACTCTTCAAGACGCAACCGGAACGCTATGGGAAGCCTGAACCCCTGCCCAGCGCCAAAGAGTCTCCGCCAGCTTAGCTGGGGAGCTTTCGAGGTATTTGCTGAGGCCCACGGAACCCGATATCAAGGCGGGAGGTTTAGGCTTAAGGTTTGGGGCTTTGGGGGGCCTTCGGCTTTAGGGTTGGCGAGGCTTCACGCGCAAGTTCTCAAGGAACCGTGGGCCCTCGAAAGAACTTCTGCGAGAGAGCTTTGGGACCACTTCGCCAACCGCGCGCTGCGGAGAGGGTGCCCGGTCGTCAGTCTTTGGAGTCTTTGGCCCCCTGGTTCCGTTCAAAACCCCCAGCTTATGCGGCAAGCCCATGGAACTCTGAACCCCTTCGCGGCGAGATGGGTACACAGACTACTGGCCGAGCCTCTCGCTCATGCCTTTCAAAAAGCTTTTTTGAAAAAGTAAAAGAAGAAGCTGTGAATTCACAGCTCTCCATTGAAAGTTGCCGACCTCTTACGGCACCTGGAACCACTGTACTTTCAAACACAAACCCGCTGGGAAAGAGGCAGAAGGGTTACTCCTTCACATGTCCTGCACCAGACGGCTGCAGAAGAGAGCCACCAAGAAGTCTCTCCAAGTCCACCACGAAACCTCCTCTCCTCCTACTCTTTTTTTTTGGATGTTCCCCCTCACACTAACAGTCCTTCATAGGGAATTTCAAGAGGGGGGGGGTACGATGATCCCCATTCAGGCCTGTGAGGAACATCCCAATCTCGATCCTTCAAACAGCCACGTGGAGCAGGACCGGCCCAAGCAGCTTCGGGATAAGTTTCAACCGAAGACTGCCCAACAGCTTGAGGTGGCCACCACTTGTTTCTTGCATAAGGGTTTAGGCTTTAGGGTTTGGGGTTTGGGGTTTAGGGTTTAGGGTTTAGGGTTTAGGGTTTAGGGTTTAGGGTTTGGGGTTTAGGGTTTAGGGTTTAGGCTACCTGCTGTAGGACCTCTCCCAAAGCCACTCACAAATCAAAGCAATTCACAGGCAAGAAGCCACCGAAAGGGTTTGATTTTCCAACCCTTCCGCATTCAGACGCTGGCGCGTGCGAGCGAGCTAGGGCAGATGGTGATCCTCGGATTCATTTTTCCGAAGGGCCCCACGTGAACCCCACAACCGCAAGACCCGTGAACTCTGAACTGCTCACGCAGACAGGAGGTGCCTTTCGCCTCACGCGCTTGGGATTTAAGGACGCACTGGAGCCACGCGTCTCTAAGCAAGGTCAACCTCTCGAACCAGACACCTCTAAACCCCTGAAACCCCCTAAAACTCCCCCAAAACCCCCCCCAAGAAAAACCCCCAAAACCCCTAAAACCACTACAACCCCCTGAAAAACTTTTAAAGCCCCTGAAGCCCCTGAAAAACCCTCAGCCGAGGTGCGTGATCAGGGTCCTCACCTACGGAAGTCCCCAATTGTGTGCCCTCACTGACGGAAGTCCCGAGTCTTGTGCCAGTTGTATGAGTCGGCTGGACCTCCCCGGAGTTGCCTCAAGGAGCTTAGGGCTTCTTTAGGAGCTTAGCACACCGAGAACGATGCAAGGAACTGGCGATCTCGAGCTATCTGCCAGACCTGTCAATAGACTCCCTAAACCCTAAACCCTAAACCCTAAACCCTAAACCCTAAACCCGAAACCCTAAAATGAAAAAACGTCCCCCCAAGGCCTGAACCCCCCCTAAATCTACCACGCACTCTGGATCTGAGCTGCTGGGGTCGTGGACCGAGTCGTGGACAAAGGTTGTGGCCTGAAGAGCACAGCCAAAGCTCAGCTGTTTGGGGGCTTCGGGTTTAGGGGTTTAGGGTTTAGGGATTTAGGGTTTAGGGTTTAGGGTTTAGGGTTTAGGGTTTAGGGTTTCGGGTTTCGGGTTTGGAGCTTTCTGCTACCCCTTGGGCTTCCGCAGCAAGGCCGGAAACTACGAAGACCTGTCCTCACCCTCTTACTGGCAGCTCTGCCGCAACATTGACTTTCAGCCTCAAATTCAAACGTCAAGAGCCTGAGCAAACTTGCAGACTGCACAGATGGAAATGTAAACAAGCACGTCTTACAAACCTTATCGGTCTTTCGCACTCCCCACCCATCGTGAAACCTTTCTTGCTTAATCGTAAGTAAATGCCCGGTGCGACCTGGGACTGGAAGCCCTCCGGATCCATCTTTCAAAACCGCCCCTCTCGGGCGCAGCGCCTTGATGTGGCGGAAGACTGAGTGGTCGAAAATCTCCTGGATACCTGCCATCCAAGTCTGTGAAACTATTCTGTGCTTGCAAACCGAAGTCTTCACGAATGCATTGTCCGGACTCACCTTTGCCGTCTTATGTTCAAGACGCCCGAAAAGAAGCATCCGGCACTTACACCCTTGAAGTCCACAACCGCCCTCAGGTCGCTGCCTTCATTTTGGGTACCAAAAAGGAGGACCCCTGATTTAAAGAACTCACCACGGAACACTGCCAAAGCCACAAAGTCCGGGTGTGGCATGGTCGATCTAGGGGTTCACGCGGAGACGGGGGGGCGGGGGGCTGGCGTTTATAGGGTTCAGGGCTTAGGGCTCAGGATTTAGGGGTTACTGTTCAGGGCTTCGGGTTTAGGGCTCAGGATTTAATGTACTGTCTAGGGCTAAGCTCATAGGTTTAGGTTTCAGGCTTTAGGCTTTAGGGTTTAGGGTTTAGGGTTTAGGGTTTGGGGACTAAGGTAGAGCTTACGGGGGGTTCTTGACCAGAAGCCCTATCCGAGGCCAGGATGCTCGAAATTTTCCGCGCTTCGGGCGACTGTGGCTCGAGGACTTCTGTCTCCTGCTGGGGCTGAGGGTTTAGGGCTTAGGCGGCTTAGGGCTTAGGGTTTAGGGTTTAGGGTTTAGGGTTTAGGGTTTAGGGTTTGGGGTTTCGCGTTACACTCAAGAAGTGGGGGGAGGGAAGAGTAGCTTGCCACATTTTGCTGCTTGCTTCAAAGCAGTTAGAGCAGCAACGGGTGTGAACTCTGCAAGGGCGGGCACAGCAAGCGCCCTCGAATCTCAAGGCACGGCTCGTGTGTAGATGATGACAGGGGCAGCAATATGCTTTTGCCCCTTCTTCTGATATGCACGCCCCCATATATGAAGCCCTGATCCAGGGGCGCAGTGGCAGAGAAAACCCCCAAAAAACTTCGCCGGGGGCGCCTCTTTGTCGTCGCCACGGAGGATGTGCAGGACCTCCTCGAAGAGAACCTCGACCTCAGCTCAACCGGCACGGGGACTTGAGAGCCGGGGCCTCCCAAGAAACGCAAAGCCACCCTTTCTGAGACCCCAAGCCCATCTCCAAGCCCCAACAAACCTCCCCTATCCGAAGAAGAAAGGCCCCCTACCTAAGCCTAAACCCCAAAAAAGTGTTCGCACACCTCCTTTTCCCCCCCCTTGTTCCCCCCCCCTTTGTTACCCCCCTTGTCCCCCTTTTCCCCCCCCTTGTTCCCCCCCCCTTGTTCCCCCCCCCCGCCCTCTCTTTTCGTTCTTCCCCGCCTTGGTCTCCATGCGCCAGATGTCGATGGCCTTGGCGTGGCCCTTCAGGCGCGAGGCGCCCTCGATGAACTCATGGAGCCTTGGCTGCCATAAGAAGAGAAAGACCATGAGGGGAGGGGAGGGGAGAGGGGGGGGAGAAAAAGGGGGGGCGGGGGGTTCCTTATGATCCGGGGATCCTACTACTTTGGGGGGGTCTGTATGAGGGGTCCCTGGTTCTGCTCACATTTTCTCTTGTAGAGTGGCTGTGCGGAGATTAGGGGGGGGGGAAGAGATGGGGGAAGATATTGGCAGAGGGCTTGGAAGGCGCCCAGGAGCCCTGGGCTCAGTCTGAGTGGCAACTTCTAAGGCTTCGCTCTGCAAACTCTCGAATCTTCTTCGTCGCGTTGGGCTTCGTACCGATTCCATAATGCCGTCCCGCTGCGTGATCTGCCCATCGCCGTTGTCCTGCAACCGACTCTCAAGTACGAGAACCTGCTAACAACTCAGACGTCAGAATGCATCGATGCCGCTCTGCCTTCTGGCAAGTGCCCCACTGCAGCGACGTGCTCCCCTACACCCCACCGAATGCTCTGAATTAAGTCTTCACTCTGATGCACATCTGTCCAGAAATTCAAAGAGAGAAAGGAGGTCGTGGTACTCAAGCCTGGGCACAAATCGCGGGGCGGACGAGGGCCCAACAAACGAGCAACAGCAACCTTAAATGAACCTCAAACATCACAGTAGACAGGCCTACAGCGTATGAGAATTCTATGACCTATCCAGCGGCCCAGCTTTCTCACCCTTGCCTGAAGATGTTTCGGAAGCCACACGAGGCACCGAAAAATCGCGAAGGCCCGAAAACTCCTTTGGAATCCTTTGAATTGCAAGGCTTCTGAACCCTGGTTGCCAAGCAACTCCAGCTGACTCATCCAAAACCTGCATGCACGTACTGTAGGGCTTCTCAGGAGATGTTTCGGGCAAACAGCAAGGGACGATAGAACCGCGAGCAACCACAAAGGAAGCATCACAAGGCCAATCAGGCGAATCGACAGGCATCTGCAGCAAGAATCCGAACACACCACGGCCGAAATCGACATCCCATGCTTGGCCGCGAGCAAGCGGACCTGCCTCCCCCCCGCCCAATAACCAAGTTGAATGAACCCCTCTACTCCCCTTAAACCCTGATCCCCCCTAAACCCACTCTGGGCCCGCGAGGGAGCCTGAGCTTGGGCGACTTGACCAACTTCCTCGGCAAAGGGTCTTCGCTCCGTGGGGGGTTGGGGGGGAGGGCGAGGGCGAGTTCTTATGCACCCACCCAGCTGAGATAGTAAACCTCAAACATACGCACATTTGCCTGCATTTACGTATTGCGGATGCTTGAGGAGCTTGGGTTCGTAAGGCCTCACGAATACCCGAACAACAGTGTTGAACAAAAAGTCGACACGCGGCGAAATCCCCACTTGCGCTTCAGCACCTTCCATGGAGAAGCCAGGAACTGCTCATTTCGCAACACCCTTCTTCCGCCTTCGGGGCACCAATTCACACCAAAATGACCGGAACCTCGATTCCCCCAACGTAACCCAGCCAACCCAGCCCCAAGCCAAAACAAGGGGGCAAAGTGGCGAGAACTCGTCGAAGTTTATCGCGCCATCACCCGATGAGTCCATGGTCGCAAAGAGCTTCTTCACCTTGCGGTGGTACCTGTGCTCTCGTGGGCTCTCGTGTTTGGGCACGTGCAGGCTCGCGTGCAGGCTCGTGTGCGCTCATGTGGGCTCTCGTGGGCTCGTGTCGTGTCTCTGATCTTCGCGTGGCGAACCAAACCGACATGCTGCACCTGCCACGTTTGAGGGCTTCAGCCTTAACTCATCGTATTGAAGCGACGAACCCGCGCAAGTAATCCGACGAACCTGCGCTGGAACTCTTCACCAAGTTGCATGGCGATGTCCTTCTCCTTCTGCTTGAAAGCAAGATCCTCATCGGAGCTAGCAGTCCTCAGCCAACACCCGGCTTCAAATCAGTGGACATGCCAATACCACAAGGGAAAAACAGGTGGAGTGGAGACACCCCACAATCATGACAGGAATTCCTTGGAGAGGCCGAGTGTCTTCATGGTCTGCTGGACGAAAACGGCATTTACCACGTTCAGGACCTCAGTGAAGCGCCAGTTCGTGAATGCAAAACTTGACTCTTGTTGTGCATCAAATGAGGCGAGCATTCTGCTCTTGCAAAGTCCATGCTCCCAGCTCCAATCGTTGATAAGTGGCTAACGGCCATGCATTTTGATCTGGGAGCTATTTAAAGAAAAAACTATCCGCTGCAAGGTGTAGATAAGTTATGCAGTAGGAGGAGCAGGAGGAGGAGGATGAGCAGGAGGAGGAAGTGTATACAGTGTATACCGGAACGAGCCAAGCAACGATCTGAGCATGTCCACGTGAATGTGTTGAACACGGAAACAGACTCAGAATTAACCTGCTTCCGCACACCTCGACATCGCCTCCGAGGGGCAGCAAAACCGAGCACGCACCGGTACAGCAGGAAGAAAATCGAGAACCACTCGCTGACCTCGGCTCCGGTTCCCAGTTCCCTTGAGTCATCGGAGGGGTTTTTCAGGGGAAAGCAGGGGAGTTTCCGGGGACTTCGGGTTTACACAGCTTCGGGACTTTCTCTTCTCCCACGGCGACCTCGCCTCAATCGCCCCCGGTCTCCACAGCCCAGGCGCATGCTCCACCAGTATGCGGCACGGCGGGCTCCAGTTGGCAAAGAGGATTTCGAACCTGGGCGCCCAACAAGAAGATGCTTTCTTGCAATCGAGTTTGATTGGATAGGCCAAAATGGAAAGACAAACCTGAAGGGGTGGAAAGACCTTGTGACGCTGCAGCTGATGCCTGGCAGCGACAGAGCAACATGCCTCGGAGAGGCCTGGCCTGCCCTATCGAAAGAAGCCAGAAGAACGACGACCCACAAAACCTGGATCAACGCAGCAGGCAGCGGACCAGAGCATTAGCATTCGGATCCCTATTTCCGGACGGCACTGGCATCTCCTACCTCGCAATTTGCCCACATTGGGGGGGGGGGGTTGATCTTACACGCGGGCAAACTCGTTGCACATCCTTTTTGTTTTTCTGGCAAAGCGAGCCTCATCATCCGAAATACACCCCCCCGCACAAAACAGGGCATCACGGCATCCTCTGTCATGACGGCGTTAGTGTTAGACTTGGCATGACACCAAGATTCGCGCAGCGGTGCCTGCTGGTGACTGCGGGGTCTTCAAGGGAATCATTCAACATGTTCACAGCCTTTGCATGTGTGTAGCATGCGCCAGCGTGCACCAGCGTGCGCCAGCGTGCGCCAGCGTGTGCCAGCCCGTGGACGCGGTAAGACTGGTGGAAGGCTATATGAAAAGAGAACTCGTTGGGCGGATTGGAGGGCGCGACGCTTCGTCTGTTTCTGGACCTGCTACTGAGAAGGTTCAGCCACGAGATCAGAGTTCGGGCTTCAAATCCTTGGGTTAAAACAGCAGACTAACCCCCTCCCCCTAATACCAAAGCGCCCCTACCCCCACCCCCACCCCCCATAAGAGCCCTAAACCCCAAACCCTAAACCCTAAACTCTATTTATATCAGAGTGGGGGGGATATTTAAATATTCGGGGGTAGGGGAGGTTATTAGGGGAGGGGATTAACCCGGTTCGTGCCGCGGCGCATGGAGAGGAAGGTCCGGCTGAAGGTGCCTGGCACAGGGAGGACACGATGGATTGGGATTGAGGGGCCCTGGGTTTAGGGTTTAGGGTTTAGGGTTTGGGGTTTAGGGTTTAGGGTTGCGGGGTGGGGGTATCTGACTGCAAGCTAGCTCTTGTAATCTCTTGGGAGCGAAGGGAACAGCAGACACATGCGTTGGCCACGGTTCCGGAAAGCATCCTGACCCAAAACACACAAACGCTCAACGCTTTGTGGGGTTGGGTCTAGGCTTCGATTCATGAGAGTGCGCCTGGCACAGTTACAAACTTGGGCAAGCAGGGCGAAGCCGTTTTCTTTGGTTTCTACCATCTTCGCATCCGGACGCAACGCGCAGACAACCAAACGCTGACCAAATCGTGCGGGCCGGACCGTAGTAGCGAAAGACATCTTCCCGGAGGCCCGGGTCGAAGTTCTCGTCACGCAAGTACTCCTAGGGATTCTTCGAACTCGGCTTTGCAAGCCCCTAGATCCAGGCCAAAGGAGACTCAGCAGACTCAGCAGACCCAGAAACCCTCAACATCCTAAACCTCCCTAAGACGCGAAAGACCCCCAAACCCTAAACACCCCCAAAACCCTAAACCCAAAACACACCCAAACCCTCAAGCCAACATCCCCAAACCCTATACCCGAAACATCCCCCAAAACCCTGGGGAGTCGAGGGCTTGTTGAAAGCACTGCCGAGGCTTGCGAACGAGCAAAGTAGAGGCTCTAGTCAGTACCTACAAAGTGTTGCTGATTCCGGGTGTTGCCTCCTATCGGGAGATGAGAGATGAGAGAAACAGAGAGAGAGAGAGAGAGAGAGGTGAGAGAGACGAAAGAGAAACGAAAGAGAGATGAAAGAGAGATGAAAGAGAGACGAAAGAGAGATGAAAGAGAGATGAAAGAGACACGAAAGAGAGATGAAAGAGAGATGAAAGAGAGCCTCCAAAATTGCTTTGTTTGGGCCCGCAAAATCCCCATGGACTCTGCGTCCATTTAAGATGTAGGGTGCTGCTTTTTGTGCCACAGAAGCTGTTCACCACTAATAATTGAGGAAGCCAAGGCTCCCAGCAGAGAGTACTCACAACCATTCCAGCGATGCACCTTGACCGGCGTGCAGTTCTAAGCCCTAGGCCCTAAGCCCTAAGCGCTAAGCCCGAAGCCCTAAGCATGAAGCGCTAAGCCCTATAAGCCCGAGGGAACATCACAGAACCTACCACACATGGGCAGTGGGGGGGAGGGGGTTGGAGATATCATCAAAACCGCTTCAGCCTGCGCCTCTTGCCAGAACTCCACCTCCCCCCCCCCCTCCCACACTTTCCCGCTCAATGAGGGCTATGAACACGAAGCCCCTCAATGCTTGAAACCTTGAAGCTTATGTTGGTGTCGGTTCAACGTCTTAGCTTGCAAGGGCTCGGGGCACAAGGGGGCTTCCAAGAAATGGGGAAGGCGGTTGGAGTGGGGGCTGAAAAACAGGCAAGGTGGCAGAAAGCAAAACACATTGCGACACTTATACCCCGAACCCTCTAACTAAACCCTCCTGACAACAACTCATGTAGAAAGTACGAGAGCAGCACGAAGGCCTGGATTCTGAATGTCGAAGGCATTGCAACCCCTCAACATCCCAACACTGCAACACTCCCGTTCTGTCGGAAGTTCTTCTTGAACTGCTGCGAACCGAGCAGCTGAACAAAGGTGAGCAAGCAAAAGCTCCAGAAAAGCCTGAGGTGTCAAAGATGGGACGCTACGAGTGCTGCGAAGCCTTGCTGCTTGTTATCCCGTTGCACGCCTTGACGACTTCCAGCCTCCCAGAACAGCTTTACACACTCAGATGTGGACAAGAGACATATCTCTGCTTGCGGCCAGGCATTTGATCAGCAGCTGCAAGGACGCCTGCGGAGCGTGTATGGCCATGTTCAGATGCTGGGACTTGCAAACTTTTGGGACGCCTATCAGCGGCAAGTCTGGCCAGATCATTGTGTTTCAAACGGATTTTCTTGACGGCATTCGGCAATAGCTGTGTAAGCTTCGCGAGCGAAGGGCCAGCATAACTCACTTCTTGGAACCATGTCAACATCCTTCAAAAGAGCCCCCCGAAGCCCCGCAATCTGCCAGAGGGCCAGCACGCTGGTCATTGAGACCACTCGGATGGCCCTGGTGAGCTTGCCCATGCGAAGGAGCCGAAAGAGAATCTTGGGAAACAGGGCACGGTATGCAAGATGCCTGCCGACTTGGGAAATAATAATAATAATAATAACAATAACAATAACAATAACAATAATAATAATTGATAACCATAACAATAATAACAATAACAATAACAATAATAACAATAATCAATAGGCCTAACCTTGAGGAAGC